CCTTTATTTACTCTTAACCCAAGATGTAAAAGAGTTGATAAAGATATTAATGAGACTATTCTTATAGAAACCAATTTTAATAGATCTAAGATCCAAACCCGTAGATCTATCAAATGGGAYGAAATAGTTTTCCCTGAAGGATGGTTCCTAGATAGGAMTATTCCTAGACAACCTATTGTTCAAAGTGATTTTAGTAATATCACTCAGACAGATGATGGTACTGTCTATGTCCAATTCGACGATCCTCGCAATATTCCCTATACTGAGACCAGACCTCTTTTAAGGTCTCAATCATTATCCCATGGCATTCATAGCTTTATTTCTCCTTTTGGGACTAAAGCTAGCCAGCCTTCTAGGGCTTCAACCTCTTATTTACGRGATACTCAAGCTCAATCTTCTGAGCCAGAAGAGCAAATTGAATCCTCTTCTCAACAACCTTTTGATGAACTCAGAGTTCATAAAAATGGTATTGTTCATARCAATCCAGTTGCTCAAAGAAGYAACAGACAACCTCATAGGGTTATAGAGACCATGTCTGATATTAATCTATAAGTTTTAATGATTTTTTCTTCTTCTAGGAGTTGGGTCACTAGTGAGGGAAAAATAGATTTCACTCATGGTTCTCCTGCTAGACAGCTTGTCTGCAAAGATTACTATGGTAATCCAAAATGGGCTCTTTTTAGAACTTGGTATGTTGAAAACTTTTCAAAGGAAGAAATTGCTAATTTCTCTGCAGAATTTTATGCCTTCTGCACTAAAGAGAATGAAACTTTCTCTTTTATTCCCTGGTTTTTCCATACTCATGTAAAACATTTTATAAATGTTCTTCAAAGGGATTATCAACTTCTTAATGGGGATATTAAATCTACTATATATCCTCCTCAGTCTCTTTTTCTTATGAAAAGCAATAATTCTTTCTTCCGATTCTCTGCTTTTTCCAATCTTATAAAAGATAATACTCTTACTGTTACTTCGTTACATATTAACGAACTTCTTGAAAAGCAGAATTACTCTAATCTTTTATTGAAAATTATTGGAGAACAACTTTTTTCCATTGAGGATAATATTTCCTTAATCTTTCAAAAAATCTCTCAAAATGAGACAAATCAGCAAAACCAAGTTAGTCTTCCCGCTGATGATATTTCCTCCTCTTCTGAGACAGTTGTTTTAACTTCTAATACTATACAACCTCCTCCTGAAATCACTGATTTCAAACTCAAATCTCCAGCTGAAGATTTTATGAAACAGCTTGATCTAAAGCTTTCACATTTGCATATTTCTAATCCTTCCATTTCCATGCTTAATAAGGATCTCCTTTCTAACTCTAGGTTAGACAATTCGGATGACGATTTACATAATAACCAAATTCATAAAATGAAATGGGCTAAGACTCCGAATCTTAACAAATATTATTATAATCGCCCTAGTCCTTTGGATGTTCTTCATGAAGAACAGGAGTATATTATTAATAATAGTTATAATGGTAAATGTATTTATGAATGGAACCTTGATGGGTTTGCTGATAAACATATTTATAATATGGCTCATCGCATGTTTATGTATAGTACTGTTTGCAAGAACACAGACAATAATGATAAGAGTATTGCCAAAATGATTATAGCTGGTTTCACGGGCCAACTCAAAGGTTGGTGGGATAATTATATTCCCCTTACTCAGAAAGACCAAATTCTTAACTCTGTTAAGACTGAAAATGGTGAAGAGACAACAAATGTTGTCTATCCCTTAGTTCTTACTCTTATAGAACATTTTACTGGTAGGTTTTCTGATAACAGTGAGAACATTCAAACTTTAATCAGTAATCTTCGATGTAAGACTCTTACTGAGTTTCGTTGGTACAAGGATACGTTTCTTTCCCGTATCTTTGAATTAAAAGACTGTAATAACAGTCATTGGAAAGCAAAGTTTATAGATGGCCTTCCTCATCTTTTTGCTGAAAGAGTCCGTAAGATTCTTAAGAAGGATACTACTTCTGTTAATTATGATGATTACACTGATGGTCAGCTAATCAGTACTTGTATTGCAGAAGGTCTTTCCCTTTGCAATGATTTGAAATTAAAACATCAAATCAGAAAGCAAAATTTGCTTCAAAGAAAACAGCTTGGTGATTTTTGTGACCAGTTTGGTATGGAGGTTCCTTATAAGAAACCTAAAAGAAAATTTCAGAAATCTCGCGATAAGGATCCTGGTTATCGCCATTCTAAAAAAAGGTTTAAAAGAAAATCTTTTGACAAAGATTTACAAAAATCCTATAGAGTTGATGACTCTAAAAAACCCGATATTTCTAAACATAGGAAGTCTTTTAAAAACTCTCAGGGTTTTAAGAAAAACAAAATTGTTTGTCAAAATTGTGGCAAGATTGGCCATTCTTCAGCAAATTGTTGGACMAAGAAAAAGATTAATAATCTGAACATTGATCAGAATACGAAAGATTCTCTTTTAAATATCTTTCTAAATTTCAAAGATTCTGATGAAGAGCCTGATACTGTTTCTGATTCTAGCTCTGCTAACAATACTTATATTGCTGAGACAGATGATTCTGCCAATGATTCTTATTTATCTTCTGACCCTGAAGATTTAAAATCTTCTCCTTGTGCTACTTGCGCTATTGGTCAGCCTTGTAGTAAAAACTGTCTCAATATTATTCAAAATGACACTCCTAATGACAACAATGATGAGTTTTATAAACTCCTTTCTCAATTTCAGGATCTAAATATTAATGTTCTAACTGATGAAAAGGTTTTAAAACTTTTACAAAMAATTAAAGATCCTATGATTTGTTCTGAGATTTTAGAAAATCTTGAGTTTAATAAACCAAGTTCCAGTTCTACTGTTCCCCCTCCTATCAATAATATTGATTACTCGATGAAGGAATTACATCGCCTTCTTCARCATAAAAATTCTTCTTCTACGGCGATTTCTGTCACTGATCTTCACAAAGAAGTGACCATTCTYAAGTCTGAGATTACGGCGTTAAAAGAAGACAATATTCTTCTTCATAAACATCTTGCAATYGTTTCTGCAAGTCAAGACCTTTTAGTTAGGAACGCTACTTTTCATGTTCCGACTGAAGCACCTGAACATATCTCTTCTTCTGCTTCCAATCAGCATTCTAATGTTGAAACTCCGCCTTCTGATAATGC